GCAATTTTATATCATCTGGAGATTTGTGTCCATTTGTGAAACAATGATTATAAACCCATTTTTGTAGGATTAATGAGAAAAGCTAAATTAATGATGGATAATCATTCCTTCCTCATATGGGGAGATTACTGGTCAGTACCAGCTCTGCTCATAATTAAATGAAGATGCTGTCTGGAGAAGGTGGCCATAGGAAATATGTTATAGGAGGAACAATTCAGAGCCTGGGTGCTGTCATTTGAACAAAGTAGGATAAGGTATCTTATCACCATTTCTTATGTAGCCTGTGGCAGTGTATAGAGAACCAAACATGAGGATTTTCTTATTGATAATAATATTTCAAGCACATCCTAGCAGGGATGATTCTGAATTTTAGATATTACATTTCTTATGCTACTGAAGGCAGTATATTCTATATGCCTATTTTATGTGTGGATGTCTAGTCAATGGCTCAGACTTATTACTAACTAGGTCTTAAAACTTAAACTAACCCATTTCTATTAATCTATATATTGCCACGTGACTGTGGTGTTACTGATCTGCTGGCATCTTGTTCCTTGGGCAGCTGGATGGCATCTGTCCCTGACTCTGCCCTTTTCCCTGTATCTCTGCTTGGATTTTCTACCTGGCTCCTATCCTGCCTTGCCATAGGCCATAGCAACTTTATCTATTAACCAATGGAAGCAACACATATTCACAGCATACAGAAAGACATCCCACATCAGAGAATAGTTTTGCATGATCCACTGGGAAAATCTGTTGTTCTTGGCTGATCTTTCTGACTCAATCACATGCGTACTCCTTGTCATTATTTTTAACACATGTCTAAGATTTTTTTTTTAAATCTAACTCATTTATTAACTAGGAAACCAATGGGATGAGGAAACTATCTTCTAGAATATTTTGAAGAACTTGGCTTATTTGGTGCTTTTCTTTAAGCAGATTTATAACTTCTAGATACAAGACTGTTTTATGTCTTTTAGGGCAAAAGTCTTAAATTCCAGGGTCATCTTTGCTGTTAGAACTCATTTGCATGGTAGCAAAGGTGTAACATTCCTAGCTCTCAGAGTCTCAGCTTTCCTCAGCCAGCACCACAGACCCAAGTCTAGCAATACTAGCTTGCTAAAGGAAATGATCATCTTTCCCTGGTCCTGCTGAATTAAGATACAGAGGACACCGAGAGGCTTTGTTGTCACATTGTCTGAAAGAATTCCAGATTGTAGATAAACAAGCTTAAAGCCTCTGTTTTTTTCTTACACTCATCCTGTTGGTAGATTTTCTCCATGACATTTTGATCAACTGTTTAAGATGATGAAGGAATGTTTTCCAGACTGTCATGATGATGAGTAATGTTATGAAGAAATGGAAGCAGTTCACATTTGACTTTGACTTGGCAAACAGTTGTGAGAAGCTGCACCATCCTCATGTGGCATCATTGATGGTTTATTTATTTATTTATTTATTTATTTATTTAT